CCGAGTCTTCTTGCATAGTACCAGTTGTTTTACATCATAATAAAAAGTCAGTGTCGCGGAATGTCTGTAACTCCACTTCTGTGGAGATCTGCTGCGTCCTGAAGGGGCCTGTGGCCAGCTTATGCCTTGCTGACTCTGACATGACAGAAAGTAGGCTTGCAAAAGTAAAGTCCATTCCTTCCCCCCATTCAGACCTTTAGTTTCTCACCCAGTGCCTCCCACTTCACTCCAGTTTCCATCAAATCATGGTCACGGGATCTGCTGACTCAGTCTGCAATACACTTCATTATGTTGCATTCATTATAGTTCATAGACTCATCCATAGATTTCACTACCTAGAGGCAAAAGATAAGTCTGGAAAAGATTAATTCAACCTTCCTCTTTGGAAGCCTCTCTAATCCATCATCTTGCGGTGCACGATGAAGTCCTCTTTTGGCTTGGTTCTTGTGTGTAACACTGGTGCCGATCTTGTTCTTGGTGTAGATCCTGCATTCTCAGCTCCCTGTGTCTACCTCCTTTTACTTAAAAGGAGAGATGCCTCGCTGTATTCTATAGCTTAATGCATAATTAATGAAATAAATATTTCATCCCATCCAAGGGAAATATTCCAAGAGTACAGCTGTTAAAAATTAGATAATATTCAATCAGTTTATCAGAAACAGATAACAGATTCGTAATTTGAATTTCAAAAGTTCAAAGCCAATCTGTGTGCTATGGGGAAGCATTGTGCTACAACACGAAGCTGAGACAGTCTTACGTTCCCTTACCAACAAGCTTTTAAGTAAGGTAAAGGAAAAATTGTATTTAATTTAAATACTGCCGAAGGACACTACATTTATGGTTCCATAATATTTTATTTTCTCTCTGAGGAAAGGAAAATGAAGAGTGCTAGATTAGTAACTTCTCAAAGCTGCCTGTCTCTTAGAAGTTCAGTTCGTTGAAATGAGGTGAAAAGGTTGATTTTGGTAAACTATTTCTTGTTGTTTTTCAATTACTAGACTTCAAATCCTGTGTCTCCTTGCTTACCAGCCTTCCTTATCCTCCAAGTTGAGGGGAAACTGTGAAATACATGCCTGTTTGTAAGAAGCTGTAATTGGAGGGGACTCTAAAGTATCTTCCTTCTCGCTAGTTCTGAGGTCTTTCTTTCAGTTATCTGCTGCTTCTCATCAGCACTTTGTCATTAATAAGTTAATATCAACGTTTGTTACATTCCAGTTTATAGGAGACCAATTTCTACTCTATTCAAGTTACATTTCTTACTGTCTTTTTTCATCCACTCTTCTGTTTATCTGTTTTTGCCTAACAAACTCCCCAAAGTTCAGTGGCTTAAATAAGCATTTATTTTGTTCACAACCTACACTTAGGAAAAGTGTGGCCCAGACAGCTGGCCTCTATTCCTCTCAGCTTCAGGTGGGGCAGCTGGAAGGCAGGGGCCTGGAATCACGTGAAGGTTTATCCACTGATGTCTGATGGTTGATGTCGGCGGTGGGCTGTGGCTTAGGTGGGGCGGGCAGGTGGACCACCTCCCCTGGAACACGGAAGCTGTCTCTGTGGCCTGAGACTGGGTTCCAGGGTTAAGAGCGAGGCAGAAGCTGAAATGCCTTTTCAAACCGAGCCCTGCAGTTCACTCGGTGCCACTTTCACCGTTTTCTGTTCATTAGGAGCAGGGCACTTAAGGTTGGCCCATATTGTACCTTTTTTATGGAATTAATTTTGAAAATTTATGGAGACATTCAAAAACCAGCATAATCTACTCACTAGCCACAATGTTTTCTTATTGCTTCCATACAAGAAAATGACTTATCCCCACACAGGCGTGAGCAGGTCTCGGTCGCTGTGGTGTTAGGCTCAGGCTCCAGCTTTCTGGAGTACAGCCCTTGGGTACACGCCTCTCAGTGCTGAGGCTTGAGGATAAGGAGACACGGGTTATTTGCCGCCCCACACCCGACATTCTGCTGAACTGCTGAGGACTCCCTCACTCACAGATGGAAGATGGGAGGCACGCTGGCCCGTAGCAGTTCTGCAGTGCAGCCTGATGCTGCCGGCTCTTTGATTAGGACTTAGTCCTAACCCTGGGAGGGGTTCTCCTTCGTTGCCCTCTCTGAGCTCTTTGTTCTGTCCTTTTCATGAGCAATGACCCCTGTTTGCAGCTGAGCAGTTCTCTCCAGCCAGCTTCGTCCTTGTAGACCTTCTAAGAAAAACCCAAAGTCCTCCTCCCATTTTGCACTGTCTTGTCTCTTTCAGTCCAAGCTAGTAAGCAGTAGTTTTGCTACCACAGTTCTCTTTAAAACTGAGTTTCCTGTGAATTTTATTGGGGTTCCTGCCATTGGAAAAGCTACTCTCACGTCTTTTTGAGGTAAACTCTTCACCTTGGGCTTCCTGTGAAGCTGTTGGGGGACCACGCCTTTGAAATTCTTACGCTATTAAGATCTTTAAAGGAATTTGAGGCAGCACGTTAAATCTTTCCAAGGTCTTAACAAAGTCTTGGCTTCATCTCTAGACTGTTTTCCTGGCAGCCCCCTAGATTTGATCTTCGCCCGGAAGCCATTTCTCTGCTTACCCATTATGTGACCATTGGGCATGTGGAGATGCTTTAAATGGGATACAGATAATTTGAACCCAGTGAGTCCTGGTTCCTTTCTATTTAATAATCTTTTTGTTTGTTTTAGCTTATCTCTCTCGTCAATTTTACTTTCAGCTGTTCGGTAGCAAGAGTCCCGTTTCCTCCGGTTTCAGGGTCGTCATTTTCTTCCCTGGCCTAGAAGCTGTCACTCTCAGCCCTTCAAGGGCCCTCAGGCTTCCACTAACAGTCTCTCTCGTGGACACTTTGGGTTTTCACTCTTACTCTTCTCTACATCTGTTCAGGTTTCGCCTACCTCCAGATGCAAAGGCATCCCCACATTTTGGGTTCTTTTTTAATGGCTGTGCCCCATTTTTAACATCAATAGCTGTGCCAGTTATTTATTGCTAATAATTTATATAATAAACTGCCTCAAAACCTGGTGACTCAAAACAGCATTTGCTTGGTTCCCAAATCTGTGTTTAGACAAGGCTCAGTGGAGCCAGCTCATTTCTTCTCCACTTGGCATCAAGCGGGCTCTAAAATAATCTAAAGGCTTGTTCATGCACATGTCTGGAAGTTGGAGCTGGCTTTGGTTAAGGACATTCCCTGGGGTCATCAGCTGGGACAGCTGCGTGTACACTCAGTAGGTGGCCTGGGCTTCACAGCGTGGTAGCTGGCTTCTAAGGGTGAGCATCCCTATGGAGTGAAAGTCAGAGGCCATTTAGCCTTAGAAATCACATAGCAGTGCCCCCACGTTCTGTCCCCTAGAAACCAGTTGACTGAGGCCAGTACATACCT